AACTCATGGTTTCCTGTAATGGTATTTGCATGAGAAATTAGATACAGTATCATCTTTCTAATTAAGCTCATAAGCATAATCTCATTGCTCTTATCAATTCTGCTGTACACGAGTTCAAAAAGCACACCAACATCAGTGGGAAGAGGCTTCACAAAGCCAGAACCCATAATGCTTATCTTTCATCTGAAAATGTGGATATGTGCATGAGAAATAGAAAATGTGTGTGGTTACCAAGAGAGCAGAAAGCTACATAAGTTTTTTTTTTTTTTGGCATAGTGCTTTTCACAATAAAACCAGCTTTACGGAAAATAGTGTTTTAAACCCCCCCAGTGAGCAAGATTGCTAAAATTGTAAGATGTTTAGTGGGGATGAGCAAGAAGCCTTGAGAGAAACTCAGCAGGTGGATCTCAACTCCTCAGGCAGATTTAAATAAATGTGCACATGCAAAACTAGTTACATATGTGCAGTAATAGTCATGTTTATTTAATAAATGAGTTAATGTGTTATTAATTGTAGTATTTTTCAGCTGAAGTGATGCAGGTGGTGGTCAGCGACGCGTCCATCACTGTCTGGAATGTAGTTGGAGCTTGGTGTGGCACAAAGTTGAAAAATCAGTTTGGAATGGAGAGTAACACAGATGTAACAAATTAGTTGCATCTGTTTGTTGATTCTGCATTGCCAGAGGAAAGGCTTACTGTAAACAATTTTTAAATCATATGTATCTCATTATGATATTGACGGCCTAATCTTTGTCACACCACTAATCCTGGTTTATTGAAAACAGTCTATTCACTGTGAATTTCATTGTGAAAATCCAATTTAATGGGTTGTATAACCATGAAATGAATTAGAATATTTTAATATTTTATCTATCACATACTTTCTTAGTATTCTCACCGGAACTATTTTGAATCAACTCCATGATATGAAGTAATTTCACTGTATTTTATGGACACCTTTTATACATTATGTTCAGACGTGGGATAAAATGTGTTTGTGTGTTACTTAGGTGGATATAAGAAGTGTCTTAAATCATTTGCTACTACACTGCATGGTGGTCACTAGCCTCTAACAATAACAACAAATATGAACATTTGCACTTTCTTGTAAACAGCGACACTAGATTTATGATCAAGTATATTAAAGTAGTCACGTATGTTTTAATGATCCACCACTGGGATGTAGCTAATCATGGAGAATCATAAATTCCCTTTTATGTAATCAATCTCATTGTCAACTTCACATCACAAAGCACTGTCTCATCTGGGAAGAATTCAGTCAGTCTATTGTGCACATATACGCCTTTCATCTGCTTTATGAAGAGCCCTTTGATAAAGTATGGGTGATAAAGTACCTCAAGGAAATGCTGAATGTTAATGATGTATAGTTTCACTTCACTGCTTAATTAAAGGTGCATTTAGTACTTTTGTGCTCATTTAAAATATTTTGCACCTTAAGAAAGAGATGTTTTTGTGAAGAGCCATCAGAATGGTATACTCGCATCAGATGAAGATTGTACTTACAACAGATTGCTATAAAAAAAATTATATTACAGTATGTATTGTGCAGGTCACCCCTACTAATGTATTTCACTATGTTGACACCGCAGCATTTTACTAAACTCGGAGAGAATCTTAAAGCTCAGAGTGCAACAGTCAGATTCCTGAAGTAAAAAGCCCATTTTATTTGTACACAGATGAACTGATTTTTAATAACTTATAAACCATTAAAGGAAGACCTACTGAGAGCTGTGATTAACAAGGTTGTTAATGAAGCCATCAGCCCACATTATTTAAACATGTTTTTAAAATAATCATGTAATTACCCGTGATTTTGCAATGCAATCTCCACCTGAGCATCGCGACATGCAAATTCTGCCAAAATAAATCTTTAGTGCCCTCACACTCCCATGAAGCACTGGAGTCAATCTCCCTATGCTCTCAAACTACTTAACTATTTGTAAATATCAGTGTTATTTTAGTATAATTGAGATACTATTATAGTTTTTATTAATATGCTTTGAATTTGTATTTATTTTCATTTTGATTTTAGTTTGAGTAATTTTGTTGTGTTTGTCATATTTATTCGTTTTTATTTTTAAATGTCTATAGTTATTAATTTAATTTCAAGTAAATCAACTTAAAGTGCCCATATTATGCCATTTTCATATGCCCATTTTCCAATGATTCTCAAGCGATTCCTTCGAAGCAGTTCTAAGATTCATTCTCTCTTAACCCCTCCTTTCTGTGAGCCAACTCTGCTCTGATTGGTCAGACGGCCCAGTCTATTGTGATTGGTCTACCGCATACAGCGCGTGCCAGAAACGATATGCCCATTGCCATAGTTCTGTATTATGAACACTTGATAGAAAATATAAACATCTATTATTTATCATACTTACAGGCTGTGATTCAGTGGAGCAAGCTGGTCCAAATAAACTGGGTACAGAGCCATCTTTTAAGAGCAAGCGGTTTATGAATCCCGCATTGAACTCCCCGATATTAGAGAAGCAGTCGTCAGTAAAATGACGGGAACACACACACACACAAAAAAAGATTTGGGTTGTACTGCTGTGGTACAGTGGAAAAAAAAAGAATTTTAACCACTGATTCTTTGCAACCTCATCTTTCGGAAGTGAAAAAACAAATTCACCAGCACAGCGTCATGACGTTTTACACCGTGACGTATATCCGGGATTTGAATTACTGACAACTCGTTTAGGCTGTTCAGAGTCGATTCTTTCTTTTGGGAGACAATAACGTTATTGTACACTTTCGGCTTTACAACTTTGCAGATTGTTTACATTCACATACAGCTACATTACACACTGCATTAAAGGCGATATTCGAAATGGCATAATAGCGGCACTTTAAACGAAATGAAAAATGAAGACCACTCTCAAAAACTCACTAGTATCAGTATAATTTACATAAATTGAACTGATTTGATTATTGCTGCCCATGTTAACAGAGACATTATTTATATTAAATTCAGGTGCATTCAGTAGTTCTTTAGCTAGCATTACCATGAATTTTCTTCACCATTGCGGTGTCCGTACAAAAAGTACAGTAAAAAGAAGTAGAAGTTCTTTGTGTAACTTGAAGTATGGATAGCACAATGACAAAGAACACTGATGCTAACGCTAGCTAAAGAACTACTGAATGCACCTGAATTTAATATGAATGAACGATGCCTATCAACTATCAAATCAATTAAATGGACAATTTAGTAACACATTTTTCAAGACAAAATTACAGACCTTTTTAGGATTTCTTTACAGGATATGTGCAAATGACTTCCATTTCACATAAATTGCACTGATTTGCATGTGTGATATTGCTTAAGCATCACATTTGTAATAGAAAATGTTTTGTTATTAAACATGAGAAGTTCTTCACATCCTTTCAAAACCAAAGCTATTTAAAATAAGTAATCTGTTTATCTACCGTATCATTGAATGCACTCATTATTCATTATCTTTTATCTGTTGAATAATGAAAAAGCTAGTCATCCATCAGAAATCTTCAGTTTTGGTTTGGGCTGTGAGTGGAATTGCGAAAATGTTTTCCTTAGCAGTTATTACAAAATGACACATTTTACCCACAAGTTGTATTCTGTGCCAGTGTGAACCATCTAGACGGTGTGAATGCTTTAGACAAAACAAAAAAATTTAACTAGACAAACCAAAGGTACATTGCTGCGAAAAGAGTAATTTTGAAGTTATTGCAGCTCATTCCAGGTGACAGATACATTTAATGTCTTTTCACTGCCCTCATTGCGTCTACGTTCTCTGCGCTTTGTGTTCAGCTCAGCATTCATTTCCCACCAGAATCTGTTGGTCTACCCCTGTTGTGCTGTGCAGTTGTATTCTCTCTATTGTTAGCAGCCTGCCTCAAAGAAACATCCTGCCTTTATTAATATATCAGCATAGAGGAGAAATGGGCCTGCTCCTCAATCAGATGCAATAGTACAGGGATGCAGTGTTCTACCAAAAAAACAAAACAAACAAACCCCAAGACATCCACACAGGATTCCAGCTCTTTGTACATTACATCAGTGTTTTCATGGCTTCCTCCCATCGGAGCAAAGATTGACTTTTGATTGAATATTAAGCTGTTGGATGAACGTGTAATGTTCTCACAAAATGAAAGGATCACCCATTATGAGTTTCAGAGCCAATGGCTCACACAAGATCTGCATAGAGACACGGTGCATGAAAGCAAAACAAATATGTTTGTCTGCAAATTAATTAAAAAAATTGTGCTTCTGTGGAGCTCAGTTGGAAGAAATTGTTGGCGCAGGCTGCCAGTGGTTTTTTTTCCCTATTTGGATTATAATGTCACCTCACGCTGAGACTCACGCTCAGAAAATTAGCCCGATAATTCATAAAGCGATCTGTGTGCGACTCACTCGTGTTGCCCTCGTTTGAGGTAAACACGATGAGAGACATCAGTGAGACTGTACTTTAATCTTTCTGCTGATTAATTCCACCCTCACCTGAAAAAACGAGCTAGTTAAGGAAACATTTTTTTTCCTCCCCTTTTGCGGTTTCAAAATAGCTGATGCAAAATAATGAGTCTGGGCTTAATTAGCAATAGCTACTTTCACAGGAGATAAACAAGTAAATGATTAAATCTGTTGATGGTCTTGTTGGATAGAGAGGCTGCCGCATCCGACTCCGCCGATCTCTGTTGCCATGGAGACCGATGGTGACTCTGCCAGTTTCTCTCTATTCAGCACGTTCGTTGGATCATTTCAGGCGATGGTTGCAGATACCTGGCTGCGGCGCTCAGCGAGCTCTCTGTTAAAAACAGAAGGTGTGAGATGCACAAAATCGATCGCACGGTTACGGCCAGATACTCTCTGATCAAATGACAGGGTGACATTCAGATTTTATTCAGAAACTGCCGTTTTCTTCTCAAGACCTCAAGCAAAACAGACAAAAAGACAAGATTATAGAACAGCAGTTATTGGAAAAAAAGCTTCTGCATTACCATGTTTTGCATCTTTATTTTCGTCACTCGGTATGTCATATACATGGAATATATGACATATATATAGTTTTGACATCTATTATATTTTTTCTTCTTTACAGTAGAGAAACAACATTGAGATGACACACTATTTGGTTTCTAAATTGAAGCTTTTGTTAAATAGTGGCATATAAATCCTCTTCAGTACCTCTTTAGATCAACATCCCACCAAAGTCTTCATTCTCTCACATCTATTCACATTGTGTTGTCAGTAAGTCAGTGTTTTAAATTCGGTTGTCAGTAGTTGTACTTCACAATGCAGTAAAATAGTTCCAAAAGTAAGTGTCTTGCAGAAGCGGGGACGTTCCTGCCCCATCCACACCAACATGGAGTTTTCAAAGCAATCTTTGCATTTATCCAATCAGCTTGTAGGATTTGTGAGGCAGGCCACAACTCTAACCCCATCAGAAAAGAAGCTGTCCTTTTCGTCCCCCACAAATGGGGTTTGTAAACCATCATCCTGCTGTCCTTCCCCGAAAGCAGACCGACCCTCCTGTCCTCCGGTAGTCTTAGACAGCAGGCTGGCGGCGTACTGTGTGGTTTTCGCCCCCGATCCAAGTACGGTCATAGAAATGACAGTCTTTGCTCTCCTGGAGCTTGTACCTGATCCCAAGGCTGTTGTGTAGGTAACAAGGCTTTTGTGTTTGATTTGGCCCCTTGACATCAGTGCAGACTCGGAGCAGGTGAGTGTCTGTAGATCCTGCACCGCCACAGAGGAGCTGGCAAGTGATCGGCTGGAATTTGCCACTGACTCCGCCTCAGTCTCAGGATTGATTAGGTTGTAGCTGGAAGATCCCCTACCCCCATTATGCAGCTTGTTCCCGCCCCCCTCCCCAAAATCAGGTCCCTGAACGGAGGGGATAATGGGTACGGAGTGGGCTCGGAAAGAAGGGGGAGGAAAGGTTGTTCCCTGGTCGAGACGAGTGCACGGAACATCAGTGTAGCCCATCTTTCCTTTGGAATGGGTGGAGAGCATAATTTGCATATTCAAATTGCAACGGCTTTGTTGATTGCTGTCCGAGTGAGACTGGCACCTAGAGGATGAGAAACCGAGGGAATTAGTGCTTACATCTCATTATCCATTACATTCATTTTGTCTGTTACACATGAAAGAAATCGCTCGGCCACTGAGAATGTAATGAAAACAATTTTATAACAAAAAAAACAATCAGCAGTGATAAAATTATTTCGAGGTGGTGGGAATTTTGAATCTCAGTGTAATTATGTATAATCCGCAGCTTGGGCTGTGAGCCTGTGGTAGCATAAATGTTAACGCTGAGCTCGTTCTCTCTTCTGATGACTTTGTAAAAGATTGAATCCATTCCCATCAAAGCTTGTGTATTCTTCACCCAGACCTATGAGTTTATGAAGGCCACGCTACTTCATTTAGCTGTGGTTTTGATCTGCAGGAGGGGACTGCTTATCGAATCCAGCACACCTTGTGGTGACAAACCAAAAAATATTTTGGTATTTTGCTGGGAGACTGCTGTGGTGTAACACTCAGATCTTGTGACGTGACCCAGGCGGGTTATCTAGGGTTTGTCAGATGTAAAATCATAGGAAATATTGTGGGTTCTCAAAGTTGAGGTTCAAACTGGCACAGTTATCACCCTCTTATCTAAACCTTGACATGATGACACTTAAATGCAGCTTTGCAAGAGCACCAAATAATTTTTGCTTCTGGTAAAAAGTGAATATAAAAGCTTCAGACAAAAATGCTAGGTTTTGTCACTTCCCAGAAACCCCAGCTCATCTAACCACTGAGTTATTGTCTGACATCAAAGACTGTTAAATAACAGGGCTTAAATAATATAACACAATACATGGGTATTAAAAGTGTATTCTAGCTGCAGGTTAATCCGGCAGATCGCAGCAAATCAAAACAATATCTAAATATAACCGCACCAATGGCACACACAGTTTCAATCCATATTTCATCTCTGACAGATAAATATGTGTCTTTGCAGAGAGTTTTTTTTTTTTTTTTCATAAAACCGACAACATTCTGTGGGGGTCCTGCTGTCATAGTGAGGGGGATAAGCAAGCTCTGCATGCCCATCTCTCTCTCTTTCTCCCCTTTCCTCACTTCTTTTTTTCTCTGTTAGACTGGAGGGTGTCTCCATGGCAACAAGAGAGCGGTTCAGGGATGGTGTTGGTGTTTTAAAGCTGTTAAGTCTAGAAATAGGTCAGTTCAGCCCCAGTCTGTCTCTCTTTGGGCCGGCCAAGACTGGCCTGAGAAAGGTTCAGAGAGGCTTATCAATATTTAATTAATCATGAACAATAATAACAATAGCTAAATAGTGCGGACCCCTATAGAGTGTAACCCACTGGTTGTGCTTTCAGACATGAGCTTAAATTAATTAAACAAAAGTCAAGCTAGCAGACTTTACAAAAACACAGAGAGCCCTGCTGCTGACACACTGGGAAAAAGAAGTGTATAAGCGTGTTAGCACATATGTGCTTGATCACAGCCCTTAAATGAGTCTCCAAGCTCAAAGCTGCACTGTTTAAGAATGTAAATTATGGAAATAGGTCAAATAGAGAGAGTCTGGCAGAGAGCAGAGTTTACAAGTCACCGTGAAGCTGGATCAGGTTGGCATTGGTAATGAGAACATTGCTTGAAAATTCAAGAGTAAGTGCTACTTGCACACATACACCCTACTTAACTGAAGGACATTATTCCTGCCATGGGCCCTGTCAGTGAAATCCAGTTTCACTCTCTGAATCAATATTGTATGTTCCTTGGAAATCTAATTTGATCTGGATCTGGCTCTAGACCAGTTCTATACAAAATAATTAAGCGATTATGGTCTTTATCCTTAACATATACAGGTTTTTCTTAAATTATGGGCACCTTTGGTACCTATGGACCTGACAAATAGTTTTCTAAAAAATTGGGGTTGGTAAGATTTTGTAATGCTTTTGAAAGAAGGCTCTTATGCCCACCAAGACTGCATTTCCGTAATTAAAAGTACAGTAAAACAGTAATATTGTGAGATATTATTACAATTTAAAATAATTATTTTCTATTTTAGTATGTTTTAAAATTTAATTTTATTCCTGTAATGGAAAAGCTACATTTTCAGCAATTTCATGTGGCATATTTCAGTGTCAAATGACCCTTTAGAAAGCATTCTAATATGCTGATTTGTTTGTGGTGCTTAATATATTTGTGGAAACCATGATAATATTTTAAGGATTCTATGATGAAGAGAAAGCTAAAAATCTTAGAAATTTTTTGTAACATTCTAAATCTTTTTGTTGTCACTTTTGATCAATTTCCTTGCTGAATAAAATTATTAATTTCTTTCAAAAAGGAAGAAAAAAAAAAACTTAAAAACCTTAACCCAAACTTTTGAAGAGAACATGCATCATTCACAAGAGAATTGTCATTTTCCCCGAATCATTTTTCTGATCCAACAAGTGTCATTTCCATTACATTTCAAATAATGACTCACATTATAGTGATGGAAAACATATTTATGTATTCTTTTTTGTATATATATATATATATATATATATATATATATATATATATACACCGTATATGTGTGTGTGTGTGTGTGTGTGTGTGTGTGTGTGTGTTGTAGCTTAGTTTAATGTAATCTAGAATAGCCAATAAAATTCATGTTTCATTTATAAAGGATCCTTGTCTGGTGTTTTAGTGAATTTCTCTGAGACCTCACATCACAGTAATTGTCACAATAATTTAGTGATAAAATTGTACATCCTTATGGAAATATGATATTTTGTAATTATCATTTAAATCTGATTAATTTTCACATTGTTTGACATAAATCATAATCTCAGGAAAATGTTATGGGGTTTCAAACCAAAATATGACTACCTGTTATGAAACGGGATATTGATTTCATACATGCCCACTGTAGAGGACATCAGGACTAAAAGCATGTTTATTATGCATTTTGGGAGACACAACAAATGAATAGGAAAATAAATTATATATCAATATTCTTATGAAATATTAGATATTATTATGAAAATCTGGCCAATTATTACTCCCATTATTACACTTCTTTTTTCAACATGCTGTCCCAACAGCACATTAATATGCAAATTAGGTACAGTGTATATATAACATTGTGTTTAATGGGAAAACCAGTTTATGGAAATTTTACACACATATTGCATAAAGTAAAATGGTATATAAAATCATTTTGTTATATCTTTTATAACATAGTTGAGAATCATCCTTATACAAAGTTTGGAATAAAAAAAAAGCCTGAAACCTAAAAATTGAGTCCTGGTGTCCTCTAGCATAACATATGAATAAAATAAAATTTTTCAAAAATTGTATTTTTCCATTATTTTCTTATGCACTAAACAATGTATGTAATGACATGAAAAAATACTAAATTCACAAAGTTTTTTTTTTTTTCTGGTTCTCAGATATAAATACACAATTAGTTTTTTATATATTTTGACAAAATTAAAAAAACAAATATTCTAATAAGTACGCTAACGTTTGATAAAAATGTTACAATTATTATGGTGGACAGAGATTTTCAAACAATAAGTTGTGAAAGGGTTTATATTTATTTCACCCTTTGTTTAGATAATGTTTAAAGTTACAATTAATCAAAAATGTGATTAATATTTTTGTTTTTGAAAGTCTGAAACAAAAAGTATATTCATACACACATTTGAAATGCAAAAATAAATTATGAAAGCATGGTAAAAAGTTTCAAAGAGCATTTTAAAGCGTAAAAAAAAATCTGTCAATTTTGATAAAAAAAAAGACAGAAGTGCCAGTAGTTAAAGGGATAGGTCACCCAAAAATGAAAATTCTGTCATTAATTACTCACCCTCATGTCGTTTCAAACCCGTAAGACCTTCGTTCATCTTCGGAACAAAAATTAAGATATTTTTGATGGAATCTGAGAGCTGTCTGACCCTGCATAGACAGCAACGCAACTAAAATGTTCTCAAGTCCAGAGACGTAGCAAGGAGATCGGTAAAATAATCCATGTGACATCAGTGGTTAATCCACAATTATACAAAGCTACTAAAATACTTTTTGTGAGCAAAAGAAAAAAAAAATAACAACGACTTTATTCAACAATTCATCTCCTCCGCATCACCCTGGTGCCATTTTGGAGAATATCCACTGGACATAAACAGCGTATGCTGTTCTGCGTCAGCTGCGTCATGCTGGATCTGTTTCACAACGTTGTTGTGATTTGATCTGAAGGGAAACAGCGTATCCGTGTGACACAGAACAGCATACGTTGTTTACGTCCAGCTGATACTCTCCAAAATGGAACCAGGGTGATGCGGAGGAGATGAATTGTTGAATAAAGTTTTTTTTTCTTTGTTTTCTTTTGCGCACAAAAAGTATTCTCGTAGCTTCGTATAATTGCGGATGAACCACTGATGTCACATGGATTATTTTACAGATCTCCTTGCTACGTCTCTGGACTTGGGAA